AGCTGAGGGCTCAAGTCTGAGGGCCGAGGCAGGGGAAGACGGGAAATGGCTGGCAGGTGGGCGCCGGGCTCAGATGGATCCTGAGACCTTGAGGATGGTCCCTTCTGGTCCCCGTCAGGGCACAAGAGTCCTAGTTCCCTGTTTTCACATCTCCTCACATTTTTTAGGGTTGATCACGGGGAAGGCTTCAGTTGGGCAGGGGAGGTATGACGTGAAAAGCCAGCCTGGGGAGAAGCTTCTTTTCCCATGATCAGCGTTTCCTGTGTGGTGCCTTTGGGCTGGCGCTGGGAGCTGATCTCAGGCTGGGCGATGAATTCATGAAGCCCCCGAGGAAGGCGGGAGCCCGTTGTGTCTGACTTGTCAGTGAGGCAAGGATGGTCAAAGTGGACCTGGTACCTGCTTCCGTGGGTCGTCACCAGCCCAGGCCACTCTGCCAACAGCTGCTGTGAGGGCTGGGGTGGGAGGCAGCTTGCAGTGCCCGGTTCTAGAGGCCTGAGCACCACCAAGAAATGGAGGCAGACACGGGCAGGTCTCAGGCTCTAAGGCTCCAGGCACTCGGTTTCTACATGGTCGCTTCTGGCTGCCCGTGGCTTGGCTGTGTGTTTGCGTTTTGATGGGGGTTGCAGCTGGGGCTGGGGAAATGGGGGGTTCATGAACCTCCAGGGAAGTGGGAAATTGAAAGAGACTGGCTGGGGGAGTCCGGCAGCCCAGCTGTGAGGTGGAGGGAAGGACTGCACGGGTGCCGACCTGCTGCCGCCAGGTGAGGAGAGAGCGGGGCCACCGAGGCAGAAAGGTCAGGACAGAAGCGCCGAAAGCAGAAAGCCTGGGTTTGAGCTCCGGCTCTGTCCCTTTGCCTTCTGGCCCCAAAGGAGTTACTTAGCTTTTCCGAGCCTGCCTTTCATCCTTGGTAAAATGGCGATAATGATGTTTCCCCCAACCAACCCCCACCCGGTAGTTTTTCGATTTATGCAATATTGTGGGAAAGAGCGTCAGGGGACCAGAGGTACCACCCAGCATCGGCCACGTGCCGGTGAGCCCCTCAGAAAGGGACTCCTAGCAGACCGCGGCTGGGGCTCACACCCTGTTTGATTTTTTAAATTGCATAAAACTTCCTCTCTGGCCCAGAGTGAGTGAGTAACCGGGTAGAGCGCCCGGGGCTGGAATCGGGCTTGTGGTCATACCCCCCACCCCCCCAAGCTCGAGCAGAGCCTCTCCCCCAGCCGTGCGCCATTGAGATCCATGAGGCCCAGGGAAGCAGACACCTGTTGTTCCATTATTGAGCCCACTCTAGGGGGCCAGAGATGTGGGGACCTAGGCTCAGAGATGACCGATAATAGGGTAATTGCCTTCCCTCCCTTCTTCGGTTCACATCCTTCCTGTCCAGCCCTCAGCCACAGGTCACAGGACCTAGCAGAGACACTCCTGTGGTTTCTTCAGTGAAATTTGTCGCTGCCTATCCCTCACCCTACTCCTTTGGGCTGAGGTTTTGGTCTTTGCCGAGTGAACTCAGATGAGTCCCTTGAGGGCTGTGAAGTGCTCACTGGGGCCTGAGGAACCGAGAGGGCGGAAAGCAGAGGCCTGGGGGCCCGGGGCGGGGGGCCGAGGAGGGCTGAAGGGGGTCCCTCCTCAGCTCTCAGCGCCTGTAAGTTCCATCGCAGCGGGCAGAACTCCCCACACTTCCTGTCCCAGCCCTGCCCCAGGGGGGAGAGAGCAGGGGGAAAGCCGAGAAAAATAGGATCCAGAGAGGAAGACCAAGTGTGTCTCCTGGGAGATTCCCCGCCAGGCCTGGTCCCACCTGCCGGTTCTGTCCTCCGAGCGCCGGAACCTCCCCGATGCCCCTGACCCTGAGGGCACCCTCTGTCCCCTCAGCCGCCCTGGGAGAGCCTCAGCTCTGCTATATCCTGGATGCCATCCTGTTTTTGTACGGTATTGTCCTCACACTTCTCTACTGCCGACTTAAGGTAAGGCCGGGGGAGGGGGCCGGCTTGGCTTTGAGGAGACGGAATAACCGGGGATCCCCGCGAAGTTGGGGGGGGATGGCGTTGGGCCACTACCTTCGCCGTTACCGATGACCTCTCTCCCCTGCTCCAGATCCAAGTGCGGAAGGCAGCCACAGCCAGTTACGAGGTATGGCCCCTTCCGCGCTTGGGTGTCACTGCTACAGACTCCCAGTGTCGAAGGTCCCCCCTTCCCCTCCCCCTGCGCACCCTGCCACCTAGTCAGGCCCCATCAGCAGGTGATGAGGGAGAGCGGAGACTGACCCTGAGTATGCCGTGTGTATGTGCATTTGTAGCCCTGCGGGCAAAGGGGCATTCATGCCCCAGAGTCCCCACATGAGTGCCCTCTGGCCCCAGTGGCCGGCCAGCCCCAGCCACATACCTCACTGGGTGGGGAAGAAGAGGCCGAGGGACCCTGAAGGAGGCATGGGTGTCTAACGCCTTGTCCCTTTTGCTTCTGCAGAAATCAGACGGCATTTACACGGTGAGTGAACCTGCCTTCCCCCACCCCAGTCTGGGGAAGTCAACAGGAGAGAGTGGGTTTTCGTGTGATCTTTGAAAGACATAGGGTCTGTAGGGGGCCCGACAGGGGGGCCTGCAGTGTGCACAAGCCCTGACCATCCTCTGACCTTCACCTCAGGGCCTGAGCACCCGAAACCAGGAGACGTACGAGACCCTGAAGCATGAGAAACCGTCCCAGTAACTTTAGAACAGATGTCGCTGGCCACATCCTTCCCCTCCTCGTTCTCTTCCTAACCCCCATGGTTGACATGACATACATCCCCAGTTAGTGCCAGCCGGCCTTACCTCTGAAATGATGCTACGTCCCCCGTTATTGGACACTGTTGGGTCTTCCTCCCCGCCAGACTTCTGCTCAGATGCTAATCATTAACGTGTATATTCTGATCTCACTGCCGTTCCCCACCCCTCTCTTTCCTGTCTCCCACTCCCACTCAACAATGGAAATAGAGTATCACCAATAAAGCCGTCAGAGCCTGGACTCTATTCGTCTATTTATCATGTCATGTCATATCATATCATATCATATCATATCATATCATATCATATCATATCATATCTTTATTCAGCCTCTATGAGGCGCTAGGCCGGGGACTGACGATGCCGTTTCGAGTAACGAGCTCCCGACCTCACAGAGCTCACGGTCTGGTAGACTTCAGGGCAAGGCTCCCTGGTCGAGGAGTGAAAGCTGCCCGTGGCTGGGGCGGGGATGAGACCCTCTGCCCCAGGTCCAGTGGCATGGAGCTTAACAGCGAGCGAGTGTCAGGTGTCCAGGCACATTCAGAAACATCGGAACCTAAGAAATGACGTCTGCACCCAGCTTGGCTTTCCGTGTGTGGCAACTGGACTGAGGTTGGGCCGTGGAGTAGCCTGGCTGTCCCGCCCCAAACGGTGACCAATCCGGACCAGAGGGAGGGTCAGAGAGCAGCGTGGGGACAGCACACAGCAGGCACGCATCTGGACATTAGCGTCGCTGAGAGCAGATGGCGTGTTGAAGCCTTGTGTGACCCTCCTGATGGAAGGTTTTACGGGAACTTGAGTTTTCAGTGGTTTCTGCGGGCAGCAGGAACCTTAGAGGGCCAGATGAGGGTTGGAGGCGGGAAAGGCAAAGGGGAACAAATGGCCTCTAGATGGGAGACGAGCTCCACGTGCCAGGGTGGGCGGCTAAGGAATCGCCCCAGGTCAGATCCATGCCTGTCCTATTTCCTGCTCTGCCGGGAGCGGGGATTTCCTGTGGTATCTGCATCACATCAGATGCCGCGGGTTCTACCTCTGATTCCACAGCCCCAGCAGAATGGGTCCTGAGTACCCAGGCCGACCCCGCCCCGCCCGAGCTGGGTGAGACTCAGCGCCGCACAGCGACTGAAACCCTCCACTATGTTTCCCGCCTCTCTTGCACGGTTCTATCTGCTTGCCAACCCCGGGTGGAAGATCTGGCTCTTTGAAATTAATTAACCTGTCCAAGGCCATCTTGCAAGGGACAGACTGAGCTCTCTTTGTCCCCACACATCTTGCTGCATGAAAGAAAAACAGAAACTGGGGAAGAAAGGGAAGAATGTCACTATGCGTGGTGAGGGCCTTGAAGGCGAGACCGAAGACTGATCAATACACGGAGGAAATTGGAGCCCTGTCCAGTGCCTGGGAAGCAGTGATTTCAGATGAGCTCTGAGCGATGAGCCAGGGTCCAGAGGTAACTGCTTCAAGTGTGGAGTGGGAATAAACTTACTGGAAAATGCCTCTTCTTCGCGCTCCATGTTGGTATTGTGAGTCTCCCACATCAGCCCAGCCTGATTTCCATCCCATTTTGATTTAGTCCGGGAGACCCATCTGGCCCCGAGCTAACCATCATGTCTGTGAGTTTCAGATCTGACCACCTGGTCAGTTCTATAAGGGGAGAGGTTCAGAATGGGGTTCCCTAGCCAGGGGGTCTAGGTGAGAGATTTTAAATGGAAGGAGGGTTTGAGCACTTTTGGGGAAGAAAAGCGAATTCCTATCTTTTCTGTAGGATGGGGGGAAGCATGGTATTCCCCTGGCTCAGAAGGGAAGCCAGGGTCTCAGGTGACACCTCTGGGTTCATTTATTGGAAGCCTTCTCCTCTTCATAGAATGATCGAGAGGAAGTTCTGGAGGTGGGGGTGCCCTCCTTTTCTGTGACCTCCAGTAGTCTAGGGACTCGGTTTATGAAACTTTCCTGCCTTTCACTGTCCCTTGTGCAGTGCACAGGCTAAGCTTTTGTGCCGAGCAGATCCCAGGCTCGGGGAAGATGATTTGGGCATGAAGAAGAATCATAGACACCACTCCCCTATTGTTTCCACCAGCTGTCTCTTCATCCCTCCCTCCATTCCGCACACCAAACCCCTCTCCTAGCAGGGGCAGGCCTCTTGGTCCTCCCCTCACCGATACCCGTACTTCTCTTCTCCCAGTCCTCCAAAGCACCAGGTTCACACCTGACTCCTTCAATATTTATTGTAGAAAACAAGGAGCGTGTGGGGGAGAGCACTCTAGGCTGGACCAGTGGGTGTTCTAGTGGCCAGCTGGGGATAGAAGACAATGGTCTGGATGCCTCATTGGGGGGCAGGCTGTGTTTTGAGGTCCATGAAACTGCTCAAGAAGTTGATCAGGTCAGTTCCGGCCTTCTTGACCAGGGGCGTTAGCTGCTCCTGTGTCTTCTCAAAATAAGCCCTGTATAATCAAAGGATTAGAGGTCAGTGTGAGAGACCCTAGGCACTGGCAGGGGACTCACTGGCGCTGGGAGGTGAGACCCAGCTCCCCAGACTCTAGGACCTGGGCCATCCTGTTATGTAACCCTCCCAGGAGGGGAGGCAAGCCCTCCGTCGTGTAGAGGAACAGACCCTAGAGATAAAAATTCAAAGCCTAGTTCCCGCTGGCCCTATCTGTCCAAGAGGTCTGTGGGATCTACGAGGTGGTGAAGAATTTGTCTCTCCAACTTAAACCTCATCCTCTCTAACCCCCACCCTTGAGCTCCAGCAATCTCCCATCTTCCCTTCTTTCTCTCTAAAGCTCCCTGGGCCCCGATCCCCGATCCCCTTTCTTTCTTTTCTCTTCTCTTTTCTTTTTTTAAAGATTTCATTTTTTAGCAATCTCTGCACCCAACGTGGGGCCCAAACGCACAATCCAGAGATCAAGAGTCGCACGCTCCACTGACCACGCCAGCTGGTTGTGCCCCCCAAGTTCCTTTCACTGAGACTTACTTGGCCTGGGCCTGAAGCTCTGGGCCCTTGGCCTTCTCCAGCAGGTCCTGGCCATAGTCGGTCACCGTCTGGAAGTACCGAGAGACCAGGCTCTGCAGATTTGGTTCCTCTGCCTGTCTCCTAACAAGAGCCCCTGCACACACATGCACACAACACACACAGGGCTCATCAGCTGGGTCCCCAACAGGGACCTGGCAGAAGGCCCGGACTCTGTTGGTAGCCAGCCCCCACTCCCAGCCCCCTCCCCAAACAGGTACCCAGCTCCAGGTCTTTGGATGAGCTCTCCGAACCTTTGAGAGGGGGTGATCTTGCTCTGGAGCACTCAGTGCTCCTTGCTAGGAGCTCTGACAGATGGGAAGCCGGAACCCTAGCACCTTCTCCTTCTTGGGATCCCTTTCCATACGACACCCACCTTCAAGGTTACAGACGGTGAGGAGCAACACAGTCAGAGCAAGCAGCTTCATGGTGGTAACAGTGGGGATGGTAGCCTGGAAGCAGTTGGGAGTGGGGGAAGAATGAGTTTCAGCCCCTCTCCAGAGACTCCTACCTAGGTGCCCACTCCGACCAGTTTCCCTCCCTTCCCACAGTTAAAACCGGGTCCTCTCTGGATCCTGGCCACACCACTCACTTCCTTACCCTACCTGGTCAGCGTCTCTCTTTGCTGTCTGTGTCTGGCCTGGCTGGGGAGATGGGGCTATATACATTTCTGCTTCCCCACCCCCCTGTCAGGTGATAAGGACTATGGAAGGGCCCCATGGGACAGGGCCACCTTGGAGTAAACAAGTTGAAGAAATGGGGGAGGAGAGGACAAGAACGTGGGGGATCATGGTGATGGAGGCGGGAGGCATGGGTGTGGGTGTTAGTGGGCGGAGGCCAAGGGGGCATTCTTCCGGCTTACTGACACTCACTCTTTCGGGGTCTGGGGCTGGCACTCTTTGGATTCGAATGCTGCAGGAAGCAGGATTCCTAGTTTTCTTCCAGAAAGCCCTGGCATATCAAACCCTCAGCCCTTGGTAACTTTGCCCCACTGTGGCCAGATTTCATCTCCCCAGCCCTACCCCCTTCACTACAGCTTGGCAGAGAGGTATCAGGGAACAGAAGAAAGGGGAAAGGGATGAAATCGGGGGCAGGCGAATCAGGATTAGGAGAATGTTGGAGGCCACGGCACCGTTGGAGGCGTGGATCAAACCAGGCCCTGACTTGTGTCTCCTTTAAAGTCCAGAAGCCTTGATAAGGGGTTAAGGACAGGAAAGTTGAGTAACACTGAGAAAGGGTCTGTGCTATGTGTCGTGCACTCGCCTATGTGACTTCCCACACACTCTCCCTACAGAAGGGAACAATGTGGTCAGGGTCCTGAATTCTTAGTTGGTCCTCGTTGTTCCTGTACTTTCCATAACCCACTCCCTGGTTGATTGTAACTTCTTGTAGCTAATGGTTTTAGCCGTGATTACCTGGCATCACGAGATTTGTTTGTAGTTAATGTAAGACTTGTTATAGGAACTTGCGGTTATCTGACTAGATACTGATGTATATTATTCTTTCTATTGTGATCTGCCTTATAAGTGCTTGTAAGATGTGGAATAAAATCGGCACTGTGGGACCTCCTCCTCAGTGCTCCTCCTGCCCCCATCTCTTTGTCTCTTAATTTCTTTTCACCATCCTCTTACTCTCACGTTCCTGATCGAATTGTCGCACCGGCCAAGACAGGAGAATAAGGGTTAGGGTCAGAGGGCAAGTGTGATTGAATCTGTCCTGCTTTCAGTTAATGTGTAATGAGATGAGGGAGAAAACACGGAGAGCCCAGAATAACCCTCTTGAGTGCTGATAAACGTGTAGACCCTACCTCTAATAAAATAAATTCAGAAAGTAGCCTCTGCCTTCCCCTTCCCAAATGGTGGGCCCTGGCAAGAAAGGAAGTTAATGAGAGTCTTCTACCAAGGATAAAGGCTGAAGTTCCTTGGTCACTGGATTACCTTGTCATACTAAGGTGATGGTCAGTCAGTGTGAGTCAGCGGGGCCAGAGCATCCCTCTGACCGAGGCCCCAGCCCCAGCGCCAGCTCTGCCTGTGAGGGAGGACAAAGGTACATCCCCCAAGCCCAAAGCATTTGTGTGAAATCACCTAAACAGATATCTGAAGCATTTGTATCTTTTACCCTTTTGCCCTCAAAGTGTACATAGAACATTCTTTTTTTTTTTTTTTTAAGATTTTATTTATTTGACAGAGAGAGAGAAGGAGATCCCGTGTAGGAAGAGAGCAGGCAGAAGCAGGCCTCCTGCTGAGCAGAGAGCCTGATGCAGGGCTCAATCCCAGGACCCTGGGACCATGACCTGAGCCAAAGGTAAAAGCTTACCCCACTGAGCCACCCAAGCACCCCATACATAGAACATTCTTGAGAAACGAAGATGGGGCTGTGAGGGCTAGTGAGGGAAGTGACCCTGGGCCAAAAAAAAATCTTACTCCATCTTCAATTATTCCTCTGGAGTGCTTAGTATTTGAAAGACACCCCCACTGACGGTTCTTGGTTCAGGAGTGGACTGCGTTTGGGAGCCAGAGTCCATATTCCCAGATTTTATTTGCCTGAGCAATGAGGGAAGGGTTAGCCAATGAGGGCAGTTGCTTCACGGAATCATCCTGCTAGAACTAAGGCTGCAAGTCCTGCTCCTCTACCCCAAACTCTCACCCATTCCCAATCCACCAAGAGAACTAGAAGGTGAACTTGAGAGAGGCGTAGACCTCCGCGTCCCCATGGGGAGGGCTGTACTTGCGAGTAGTACCCATCTGGAGGTGTGTGCTGTGTACTGTGGGGGGCTGTGAGGAGGCCCTAAGGGGTTCGAGGTAGGGGCAGCTAGGAGCCATAAGAACCAGGGTTCCAACGCAGAATTCAAAATCATTCCCTCTGCCACCCTTCACAAAACGGAGGCCTCCAGGCTGTCCCGCGAAAGGACTTGCAGCAGCCCAAGCTCCAAGACTCTCCCTCTGGCGTCTACGACGTTCCCAGCGTCTTCCCGACTTTGTTGAGGCCGGGCGATCTCAGGCCATCTACCAATCAAGCCCCGCCCGCCTCTGCAGTGCCTGGGTTGGAGCTCTCTGGACCCGACTCTGCCACTCCTTTGCTTCCTTCTCTCCCATTGGCCCCTGGGAGACGGAGGCAGCTTTTTTTTTTTTTTTTTTTTTTTTTAAATCTTCTGGGCGGGGCCCAATCAAGGGAGGGTCGGGTCTTTGATGTCTTTTTTTTTGCCCGACTCCAAGATGGCGCTCATGACCACGCTGAAAGAGCAGCGTGAAGCCGCAGTCCTGCCATTACTCAAGATGGCTGCCCCCATCAAGATGACCGGGGTGTGCCGGGGGAAAAGGGGCAGCATGATAGTCTGAGACGGTAAGGACTATTGCTTCATTGCCAGACTCGCGTTGGGGTCTAGGAATGAAGAACAGGAAGACTGGGAAGCTGGGTGAGGTCTGTGATGGGAGCTAGGATTAGATAATGGGGGAAGGGACGGGGTGACAGGTGGGGTGAAGAATCAAAGATGGGACGGGAGTGTGCTTGGGGTTCAGTCTCCCCACCGGTGCCCTCTCCCTGCTCTTCCTCTTCCAGGTCTAGCATCGGACCATGTGGAAGTTTCTGGGACTGGGGAGTCGGATGATGGGGGGTGGGACCCGTGCGGGCTAGAGGGAGCAATAGCGTCCTTTCTCAGGCTAACCCCGGCCCCTCCCCTGTTCTCTGGACTGAAATGGGGAACACACTGGGCCTGGCACCGATGGGGGCTTTGCCCCGCCGGAGCCCCCGTCGAGAGGAGCCTCTGCCCAACCCTGGGAGCTTCGATGAGCTGCACCGGCTATGCAAAGGTGAGAACTTGGCATTTGGGTGTCTCACATTGAAGGGGCAGAGGAGGGGAGGGTCTTGAATGCTGGGTGTCCAGTGATGGGAGCAGGAAAGGGGAGAACCCAGCGGAGGCATCCAGCCTCAGGGAGGATCAGGTGCCCACATGGAGTGGAACATTTCGTGGTAGGACTTGAAAGGAGGTCAGTTCCTCCAAAGTGCTTTCAATGGGATTGAAAGGGGAGACTCCGTCTTGGGGTAGGGGTTCCTTGTCTGTGCTCATTCCTCCGCTTCCCCTCCCCTCCACCCCCTTCAGATGTGTTCCCAGCACAGATGGAGGGAGTGAAGCTCGTTGTCAACAAGGTTCTGAGCAGCCATTTCCAGGTGCTCCCACTTCTCTGGCCCTCCTTAAGATACTCCCTGCCTATCCCCGGATACTCTCCTCCTTGCCTTTGTACTCAAGCCTTAACTAGGCTCTGTGGGACAAATGAGGGAGGATGTGGGGCTCTCTTTACTTCCCTCGCCTGTGAGACTTGTTGCTTTTAGTTTCGGTGACCCTCTGTGTATGTTGGAATGTTTGGGATTCTTGTAAGGCCTTCTGGATGGGGAGAAGGAGAGGGGTGGAACGGGGCTTGAGGTGGGTGGGAACATTTTCCTTCTCCACTGACTTCTCTTTCCTCAGGTGGCTCACACCGTGCACATGAGTGCCCTGGGCTTGCCGGGGTATCACCTCCATGCGGCCTATGCAGGAGACTGGCAACTTAGCCCTACCGAGGTGAGAAGTCCTCACACCCGGGTCATCTCCCTAAAAGTCCACCCAGATCTCAGGTCTAGAGGAGGAGGAAAGGAGTGTGTTATGGGGAAAAGCCCACCCAGGACTTGGGACTAGAGGAGGAGGAGAGGAGTGTGTTGCAGTGTGCAGGGCACCTGCCTCTGTGTTTCCTCCGACGGGAGAGAGTGGGGGAAACATTGGGGTGAGGAGCCGGAGTCTGTCTCTGTGGTTCCACTAGGGGGCGCTGGGTACTGCTAAAGAAATCCTGGCCGGTGGGACCGGAGCTGAGCGTGCCCCCAGCTCAGTCTTGCCCTGTACCCTCCTCAACAGGTGTTCCCCACTGTGGTGGGGGATATGGACAGCAGTGGCAGCCTCAACGCCCAGGTCCTGCTCCTCTTGGCAGAGCGGCTCCGAGCCAAGGCTGTCTTCCAGGTGACCCACGGTTCCCGCTGCCGTCCGCTGAAGCATTTCCCCTTTCTCCATGAGTGTGCTGCGCTGGGGGGCTCCAGGGGGAGGAGCAGGGCAGGTGTGATCGTGCGGGGTGGGAGGAGAAGGCTCTACTGCTTGTTCTGCCTACCCAGACGCAGCAAGCCAAGTTCCTGACGTGGCAGTTTGATGGCGAGTACCGGGGAGATGACTACACAGCCACTCTGACCCTAGGGAATCCTGACCTGATTGGGGAATCGGGTGAGGAACTGGGACGGGGTGCTTTGGATCTTGGCTGCTCACTTGCTGATGTTGGCTCTGTCTCCTCCTCATCTGTACAGTTGAGGGATTAGAAAGTGCTTGGGCAGGCAGGGGTAGGGGAGCAGGCCGGGAGGCTGTCCCTGCGACTGACTCCGTGTCTCCCTGCTACCCCACAGTGATCATGGTGGCTCACTTCCTGCAGAGCCTCACCCATCGGCTGGTGCTGGGAGGAGAGCTAGTTTATCACCGGCGGCCAGGCGAGGAGGGCGCCATCCTGACACTGGCTGGAAAGTACTCGGGTATGGGGTGAGGGGGAATAGTGACAGGGAGGGGAGATTCTGAACTCGGTGAGAATTCCTGGCCTGTGTCCT